CTCGTTATTATTTCAGGTACCAGGATCAGCCGCAGTATGGCTTCAAGCTGGACGAGAACTCGGGCATGATAACGCTCCTCTCCGGCACGAAAAATGGCACCTTCGTGCTCAAGTTCACCGTTACCGAAGAAAGTGAGTATTGACGCTGCCGTTTGCTCGGACATAAGTTCATCGTGTAATTTCATCATTTCATTGTTCCGACAGGTATCAATACCCTGCGACACACCGCCCACGCTATAGTCAACGTGACGGTCAAAGAAATTCCGGAGGAGGCCGTGCAAAAGTCGGGCTCCATTCGCTTCTTCGGCATTAACGCTGAGGAGTTCGTGATAACGGAAAGCAAGGAATCCAGTAAAAAGGACATATTCCAAGAAAGAGTTGCCAAGATGTTCAATGTTTCCGTGGAGAACGTAGACGTGTTTACGGTCCTCCATTCGCCTTATCAAAACAAGTCGGTGCTGGATGTGCGCTTTTCGGCTCACGGTAGTCCTTACTACGCCTCGGAAAAACTCAACACTATCGTCGCCTCACACGTCACCGAGATAGAAAGCGAGATGGGCGCCAATGTACTCCTTGTCAATATCGACGAGTGTCTTGTAGAGAAGGTGCGATTAGTTTGTTAGCGGCGACGAATTTTAATCGATAAACAAATTCAATTCGAAACATTGTGTTCTTTTCACCATACAGGTACACTGCAACACCTCGTGCAGGAGCTTCCTCAACATCAGTTCAATGCCAGAAGTCGTCTATACGAACAAGACCTCGTTTGTTGGCGTCAGCGCTGTAGTGATGCCTCAGTGCACTTGTCACGTAGCCGAGCCGATCGCGTGTCTCAACGGAGGAGTAGTCGAAGACGCAGTGTGCAAGTGCCCGACGGGGTTAGAAGGCCCGCGCTGTGAACAACTGGCCATTGGCTTCTACGGCGACGGATATGCCATAATGCCATCGACAGGCCAGACATGTGACGAATCTTACTTGGGTACGATGGACCGCCAATTAAATTTCTTCTTTCACTCAATACAGTGTTTATTTTATGCAGTAATGACGCAAAAGGTACTCGATTATTAATTCAATTTACATGTTTGATTCCAGGTTTGGAAATAACTTCTCACGCCAAGGACGGGCTCATATTTTATCTTGGTCCAATGTATTATCCAAGTACCCCAGCCGTGCGATATCAAGATTTTATGTCGCTTGAACTACAAAACGGAAATCCTGTCTTGTACATGGATTATGGTCAAGGTACTGTTATGCTGGATAAGTCGGAATCAAGCAAAGACGGCGAAAACAAGGAAGAAAAGCTATCCCTGGCCGATGGAAAGCCTCACAGAATAGATATTTTCTGGTCAAAGACTGTAAGGCTATTTCTCACTGTAACATTTAAAAAACATGCAAACTCGCTTCTATCATGGATACTGTGATACTTTGTTTTTTTTTTACAGGCCATAGAAATGCAAGTTGACAATTGCAAATTATCAAGTTGCTTGAGATTAAAAGCGCCCATGGGTTCGAGTGAATTCCTTAATGTTAATGGCCAACTGCAAATAGGGGGTGCAGTCACCAATTTAATAAAATTAGGAGATAGTTTTAATTGGCAACACGTACCAACTGAAAAGCGATTCACGGGTTGCATTAGGAACCTTACAATCAATGGAAACGTGAGTACTTGTTACTTTTCACTAGCTCATTTCATACAGATCACGCCATAAAATTATCCAAGTTTTGATGAAAAAAAATTGATTTTTCAGACTTACGATTTCGCAATGCCGTCTTTATCGTTGAACGTGGATCAAGGTTGTAGCAATGGTATAGCTAAAGCTGTGACTTTTAGCATGGACACGAGCTTCCTGTTGGTCATTGCTTTGTGCATTGTCATTTTGTTGATTCTCTTGCTGGCCGTTGTAGTATACTCGCGTCAAACGGACGATCTTTACAAAGACATGGATGATATTAGAGAGAACATTATTAATTACGAGGATGAGGGTGGTGGCGAGGTCGATACTGGCTACGATCTCACTGTCCTACGAGGCATGTACGACCAGCCTAACGACATGAAAATCACCGCTGCCAGTCTTCAAGGCAAAGGTAGGTTTATGCATTCAAACGTGTCTCTAACAACTCTGATGACGTTTTGTTTAAAGTTGGTCATCGTAAAAAGTAGTTAGAGTGACTCGATGAGTATTCCAAGCCTGGTATTTTAAATGCAAATTTGTTTAACATTGACAGAGGCAGACGAGGTGCCCGATATTTGTGGATTCCTCGACGGCAAAAAGGAGAGTTGCGACAAGGATCCTGATACCAATCCCTTTGACGATGTGCGCCATTATGCTTACGAAGGCGAGGGAAACTCGGACGGCTCGCTTTCCTCTTTGGCATCTTGCACGGACGACGGTGATCTAAAATTCAACTATTTGTCAAACTTTGGGCCTCGCTTCCGCAAGCTCGCCGACATGTACGGAGAAGAGCCGAGCGAGGACGAGAGCGAAGGTGCCGGCGACCGCGAGAGCGAGAGCTGGTGTTGAGGTGAAAATGTGCGCGCGTATACGTTTTCCCGTGTTCACAAACAATACGATGATGAAAACGACTTATTTTCAATCATCGAAATGAAACAGTGAAAAGGACGCTAGCGCGAACATTACGACATTTACGTACTTAAGAGAAAGGATAAGGATCGCAAAAAGTATCAAAAGCAATGTTTATGCAGTGCGAGACGCATATTACTGGAGATGTAAACGCCAAAGAAATCATACTTGGGCGACTGTAGTAATTTCCAAAAATGCCTGCGACTATCGAGTATCCTCTTTCTTTCTCTAGACAACGCTTATTCCTCATTTCTTCCAAACACCCTGTCTGGTTTGACTACCAACTCGTGTACTTTCTGACGTAATATAGCATTAATTCAAGTTTTCCGGTTGTTTCTCGTTATTATTTCAAGTAGAAAATTTTCTTTGATGGCTTGATTGTATGGTGTAAACAAAGTTTTCACCAACAATGAATATTGTATTTGTCGCAGTACTTATCTGCCGAATTTTTTTTTCTTTATCAAGAAATTATATAGGAGAAAAATATGTAACTACATAATGCTGGTGAAATTAATATTTTTATAGTGATAACTATTTTTCGACTTGAGACCTTGTGCAACTTGTTGCCTTTGACTTTTTTTTTAACACATAAAATATATTTTAATGAATAATAAATGATTAAAACAGATGCCTACGTTACTCGAGTTTGAGCGAATAACTTTATAGGAATTAAGTAATTAAGTTAAGTAAAATTATTTTGTTAAAATGCAAAATTTTCGATCCAGCTGCCCGTGACATGGTATCTATTACAGGGTAAATGTGTAAAAATACAAGGTAAGCGTTATTCAATCGATGAATTGTGGTTGGCTTAAGTATGACCTATCTAAGTTTAGTAAATGTGCATTTAAGCGAGTTCGAGAGTACAGACATTTAATTTTTGTTTTTGTAAAAACGATAAAAGACGTGCTTTGGATCAGTGGTTTTTATTGGTGAATAGAAATCGGGCCTAAGAAATTAAAACCAAACCATGGTGCTGTTATCCAATGGTATCCTTAAATGGAAAGTATAGCTTTTTGTTCTATAAACCATTAAAAGTTAGATCACAAAAACTTTATTTGTTAGTTTTGATTATTTGAGTAAATTGATGCAATTTCAAGATTAAAAATCCATTGCCCTAGCGCGTCTTTATAGTTTTTCATTTAATTTGATGTATAAAATATAGATTATTAATAATAATAATAATAATAATAATAATCCAACAGTAATTAGCTGATATAGTATTATGCTCAAATAAATTTGAGGTAAATAACTTTATTTGAATCAAAAGTATTTGGTAATCTTTTTACTTATAATAAATAAGATATTTTCTAAGAAATGTTAACATTCATTAAAAAAAAGTATTTGAACCTTAGATGTAAAGTCGTTTAGTTGAAAATCATAAAATCCAGATTTTTATAATATTTTTTGCGCTTTTAATTTAGAGTACGTTACGTGTACAATACAGAAAGTAACATTTTTAATACTTTAGATTTAACCATATGTTAATAGAGTATTTTGATCTCTAAATTACAAAAGTACAGTTTTATGCGTGTATATAAGTAAGAAAATTAGTGACTTACGAAAATGGATGTGTCTGTGAGCTACTTATTAAGGAAATAGTCCCATCTGTGGACTCTTGATTCTGCTAAACTGGTGTGAATAAACCTTATGTGTAATCTTTGACATGAAATCGGATGCATAAATTAAACGTATTTAGATACTACACGTACTTGTTTTTGAGTTGAGTATGATTTTGCGTACACTGAGAAGTCTAATGGAAAATAGAGTGTTTCTTGCAAAGACTTTTTCCTCACACATCTTCAGTTGTTGATTAAAATGCCCGTAAATAATAATTTAATCATTGATAACATTTTTTTCAAGACGCAATACTACATTGTTGAAAAAGATTGTTCTTTCCAACGATAAAAAAAAAAAAAAAAACGGACTTTTCTTACTTTTTTACGGTATCAACTTTTAAAAAAAGAATGATTTTTCAGGGTTTCAAATGAAGCGTTTTTCAACAACTATTATTGTTAATTTTTTTTTATACATGGCTTTTCTTAAAATGCATTGAATTCAACAAAATATGTTCTGAGTACGTCTCAGTAGTATGTTAGTGAAAAATCATATTAAATTATCTAAGACGATACGTTTAACAAAAAAGTGGATGAAACAAAATGTATCTAGTAAATTTCAACATTTTCTCATCGAAATGAGGAAAAACCTACTAAAGTTA